AGGAGGGAGAGGACGGCGCTGGGCTGCACTGCTGGGCTGGGTCGTGGGCCCGGCCCGGGCTGGAAGTGCCGGCGCTGTCCTGAAGCGAGTGGCTCCCTGCCCAGGGAGCAGAGGACCCCTGACACCGGGGTCCGGAGCACACCGGCCAAGAAAGTCGCCTCGCCTGCTGCCTGGAGAAGGTGGTGGTTTGCTTTTGCCGTTGCCTTAGGGGAGACAAATGATTTTTTGTCATTTAACTATTTTTGCCGTCTCCTGGATGGTGCTGCTTAAATAAATTTTCTCTTTCTTGGCCCCCACTATGCTACGTTGTTCCTAACGCATGTATGTTGTGTCAGACGTTGTGAGTTGCACACAGAAGGCTTTTTGTGAGCATGAAGAGCACTGAGGAACACTTGAAGGACACATCTTCTAATTAGAAGACAGTTAAGTGACTAAGTGTTTAGAAAACGTCTAGGGTGATAATTTAGTTGTTAACTTTTTTGTGCATTGCCAGACATCATGTGGTTGCCTTGCGAGTCATATAAAATGCTCTCACATGGTATGTTAAGAAGTTTGGGTTGAAGCTGTGTGCTTGAGGAGGAGAAGTGCAGCTGAGACTTTGTGGTAGTGCCAAGCCTATAGCTTTCAGTGTGGTGTTACAGTTTTGAATATGTATTTCCAAGAGACGAAGCCTCAGAAGTAGTGTTGGTTCAATATCTGGACGATTTCCATCTGAGGGGAAGTGCTCAGGAAAACACAAGGCTTAAGAGAGACATTGTCTCCTCTGCAGGCACACTAGCCTCCCAGTGCAGAACATGGACGTGATGTCTTCTTTAGAGATCTTAATTTCCATTTTCATGAAAGGTGACAGCAGTAAATACTTTTGCCATGCCTGAGCATTGGGAACCCTGGCTGTCCAAGGCACTGAAGAGTCTTTATGAGTGGTGGTCACTTTCCTCTGTTCTCCCATTGCTCTGTTCATGGTGTGCCAGGAGGTCTCCGAGTCAATGAGTGGAGAAAAGCTGGATAAAACAAATAGGAGCAATATGTGTAGGTGAGAAACCAGGATGGGAAGTACTGCGTTGTGCTGACTCAGGACCTTGCATTACTTGTTAGAAACATTCACTAGTGTGTGCCCACCTAAGTGCCCTCGCTATTTTACCTCATTGTAAAAATCTGTTGCCGGTGCCTTGAGTGACTTGCAGCTGCAGTGGTTGTACCTAAAAGCAGTAAGTGATTTCCTTGCATAGCAAAGTCCTGTTACATTTTGATAAGCCTTCACAATTAAATATATTTGCCAAATGATGTATTAAATGGAAAACAGATAAATGCAAGTTTTATATTCTTGAAGCTGGTTTACAGCAGAATAAAATTTGATGTCTCTTTAATCATCTAGAAAAAAAGTAAGATCTGATCAATGTTTACATCAGTACTGCCATGTGGGACAGTTGATTTGTAATTAAGTTGGAGATTTTTGTATTTGAAGAACAAGAAGCAGAGTCTTGTTAGGGTGAGATATCAAAAGATAGTTTAAAATGGGGAGATAATGTCCGCAGGAAATTATTAGTAGATTTCATCAAAGGCAGGGACTTGGCCTGGTCTCAGTGTTTTAGTTGATGACCTTGGTACAGTAAGTGGGATGCAGTAATGATGCTAACTGGTGGTGCAAAGCTGGGAAACGTTTGCAGGGCCAAAGGGGACTGAGATATCCTACAGGGAAAATGGAGTGATGTTGAGTGTCAGAGTAAATAATAGCTATGGGCCAAAATTGAGTGTTCAGGGTTTGGGGCTGGTACCAAGAAAGGAGGAGTTTGGTAACAGGAAGGAAGAGAAACTTGAATGTAGTAGTGGATCACAGGATGGGACCAACTGGTTTATGGCAGTGAAAAAAGCAGTTGTGATCCTCGGAGTGCAGCAGAAGAGCACAGGTAAAGAAAGACAAAAAAGTGTGGACTTCCTTGTACAAGGCTGCAAAAGATGAACGTTGGATTTTGTACATCAGATCTGGTCACACATTAAAAAAAAAGAAAGGATGTTCATACTTCCTGAAGTGCCAAGAGGTGTTGAGATCATGAATTAAGTGGAAAGTCAAGAGGTTAGCTTGTTTTCCTAGGCAAGCTAAAGCTGAGAAGGGATGTAACAGTAAATTTAAAAGCCTCCATTAGGTATGGTTTTCCTGCGGAGTTTGTAATTGGGACCTACAGTATCCAATGCCATGTGTTGAAAAGATTCCTGTAAATTCTGGGAATTCCTGTGATCACCTCGTGGCAAAGCTTCCAGGAGCAGGACTCAGCTGAAATAGTGATATATTTGTGACTCCCATTCTTTCTTTCCTGGAGGCTAAATGTATTATCTAAGCTCTACGGTCATGCCCATCTGGAGGAGGCAAAAAAAAATCTGGAGCGTCTCCTTTTTGCTTTAGGGAAGTGTGTTGCAGTGCCAGTGTCAGCCTTGATGGAGATACCTGTTCAGTGTGAGTCAAGGAGCTGACTAAGAAACCAGACTCTGTGAGTGCCCTCTTTCTGCCAAAGACATGTTCATAATTGCAAATAATGAGAAGAAGGAGACTCAGCTGTGTAGAAGACATCCTATATTCTTGGGAGGATTCTGCTGCTTCCGTGAAGGGCTAGTGGGAAGTTATGTGTGATCAGAACTATTGTTTTTTCCCCTCTTGTTTTATGTCTTGAAGCTTTTTCTGAGGAGGATGCTGTGGCCTGGCATCACATCTTCTGTGCAGTTACCTCTGGTATCTTGGCTAGCCTGGATGGATTTAACTTACCTTTTGGCTTTCCATCAGCAAAAGTGAATGCTGCATCTTCTGCAGTGCTGCTGCATCTTCAGAGAGGTTCCTCGGGATCTGCTGAAGCTAGGGAGGAAGGGGGATGGCTGAGCTGGGCTGCATCCCCTTGTGCCCTCACGGCCATAAGTAAGAGTTAACAAAAGCTGCCACCAGTTGGCAGTTTCAAATTTAATAACAATGTCAGAGATTTTTTTCTTGAGTTCCAGGTGGCTAAGCTGTCGATCAAAATCGTTGTTATACATGAATGTGGCACTGAGTCCACGTATAACAAGATCTTGATGGACAGTTGTTTTTTCAAAAAAGAGTGATTGGGATGGGAACTCTGCCATTCCTGTAGTGCTGGCAGAGTTACCCGTGTAGGACCCTACCTAGTGCATGGGCAGGGGCAGCTCCAGTTCCCTCCATTCTCAGGTTCTTCTCTGCCTGGTTACAGTTACGGTTGGCAATAATGTATGGCAGTTTCTACCAAAAGGGGGTTACTTCAATAAATATTTCTCTGTATTGAGATTCCTCCTCTGGCTTATGGAGTTGTTTGCTCTTACCTGGGGTTATGAAAATGGCTGTGCTGCAGGATTGCTGAAATTCTGACTCCATCCTGAAAAATATTTCTCAGATTTCACTTTCCAGTTGAGAAATGTTTTCTGGCCTCTCCTCAAGAAGAGAGATCTGTGAACCTCTATGCTTGACTTGAAACTGAGGGCTGTGTTTGCTTGGTTCTCAATTACATAATCTGTGGTTGTTGCTTAAAGGAGGGGAGAAAGCCAATTTATTGTTACTGCAGAGCAAGCCTTTCTTCCATCTGATATCGGTTTCATTTCATCACCTCTGCTCTGTGGTTTCACTTTCCTCATTGCCACATCCCACCTTTCCTCCTCCTCTGTCTCCTAGTAGACAAAGCTATGTGTAAAGCCTGTTTTCTTTGTAAGACGTTTTTGCAGCTGTGTTTGATTCTTCTCTTAAAAGCCTAACTGATGCCTCAGAAAATTCAGAAAAATATAACAGCCATGTTTTTTAACCCAATCTCCAACTTATTTAAGAAAAATGTATTTAATGTTTCTTATAACTTTATTTTTCACCATTTAAAAATTATTTTTTCAGGGTTTGTATATCTCCTGATTTAGGAGAGTGAAAATACTGATTGCAAGTGGAACCTCCTCAATCAGCCTGGTGGATGTCTTTGGGAACATAAGAAGTCATGGCAGAAAATGATGCAACACCAACCTTACCCAAAAAGTGTGGCCCATACATTTCATCTGTAACCAGTCATGGCATGAATTTGGTAATTCGGGGGATAGTGCTGTTTTTTATTGGCGTGTTCCTTGCATTAGTATTAAACTTGCTTCAGATCCAGAGAAACGTTACCCTCTTCCCCCCTGATGTGATCACAAGCATCTTCTCCTCAGCTTGGTGGGTGCCACCTTGCTGTGGCACAGCGTCAGGTAAGTTGAGCCATGGGTGTATACCTGACGTGGAGATGAAAGGGTGGATAGGTGGTTCTGTAGTTACAAAAAGCTGTGTGAAGAGTGTGGAAAGTAAAAATTTCTCTTCCAGCATCGCTGCCCTTTTCGAGCTATAGCTGTCCTCTGTCTCTCCATGTACACACAGGTACTCGTGGGCGTGTTCAGAAATTGTTGGTTTGATAACTTGCTGTGCTGTATATTGGTAGTGACAGACTTGATGATTGGAAAGGTCTCTTCCAACCAAAACAATTGTTTGGTTTTATGATTGTTAGCAGAGCATGAGTTTTGCTCTTCCTGATGGGTTAGAGTACAAGTTTACCAGACTTTAGAAGGTGGTGCCTTTTGCAACCTCAGGGCCTGGATTACAGGAGTGTGCTCTACAGACAGCCCTGGAAAACACCCTGGAAGTGTCTGACTGTGCAGTGACCAGTGCCTGGTTTTGAGCACAGCAAACCACCCTGAGTAGCACTCCCTTTTGGGTCCTAGCTTTCCATTTGTTCCTCATTTTAGCTCTGTTTAGCAGGGATGCCTGGCTGTGTCTTGGGGAGCTGAGGCCAGGCACATTTTGTGGTCGTAGAAGCGTTGTGCTGAGCAAAGCACCTGGGTCAGTCATGTATCAAGTCAGGTGATGCAAACATGCTCCATTTCTCCCATGACTACAGAGGAAGTTGAGACTTTTCCATGTTTAGTTAAAGTGACATGCCTGTAGTAAGAAAATATCCCTTTTTCCTCTTTTTTTCATCTTCAGTTATCAAGGTGTCTTCCATGTTACAAGCCTGATGGAATTTGGCTTTTTACTTGGCTCTGAAGGTTGCTGATCCCATGGGGGCAGTTTTATGCTTTACTAAGGGAACTTTTGTAGCAGCCAGTACTGGAGGAATTTGCTTTGGTGAATCTTTAGAGTAAAGGTGTCTTCTCAGAGGTCAGTTTTAATCAGGTTGAGAAGCTCACATTTCTGGATACTAGTATGAGTCAGTAAATTAGCTTTTGAGTTGGCATAACTGTTTTGATAATGATACTTAAGTCTTTTTTTTTTTTTCCCTGGTCATCTAATAGCTTCCTTTTTGATACCTTGTTGAAATACTACACCCCAATGTCATAGAGGAGCTTGATTCGAAAGGAAACCCTCCAGATATCTCTGAATGTGGCAGTTTTGTTCTCCTGTGGAAATGCATTTGTCAAATTATGGTGGCAATTACATACCTGCTTTATCTTCTAGTTGTCTTAGTCCTGTTGTGTTGCTGATATTGTTGGTTAGTTTTTGGGTTGTATCCTGCATTTGGTGCATTTTTCTTTTATACTTTAAGATGGTTGTCTTGATAAACATGTCTGGTAAAGGTCTGATCTTCTCTGTATGGAGTAGGGGGGGTTGAAATAACAAAGTCCTAACTTGCAGCAGCAAGGTATAAAGTTTGCGGTGTTCGCTGGAATATTTGCACTGTGAAGTGCTTGCATCAGGCTGCACCTTATGCTCTTGGGCAGTCTGGGAACTCTGCAGCTGTGTATGGGGAAGTCCTGGAGGCTAGATCTTGCCATCAGCTGGGATGAAACTTGCAGGCCGTTCTGGTTCTGGTGGGTTGGTGGTTTTGATGGAAAGACTGGGTATGGCTTGTGAAGTGTAGTCAGCCACCTGCTAGGCATTTGCACTGTTTGATTTTTAAGCCACTTGAGTTAAAGATACTACTGCCTTAATTGGCTTTTCCCAGCAGGAGTGACCCCTGTTGAAGTGTTTGAGTTCTTTCTTTTCCATTATCAGTCTTTTCTTCAGTTTTTTTCCTTATCTTCTCTGCTAGTGTACATACAGGGAACCTCTGTGGTAAGTGCTGATAATTCCCCCATTTTCTTACTGCTCGTACTTGCACAGCCTTTCTGGAATTGACATGAATATTTCTCTGCAGTGTGGTTTGTTATTATGAACAGAATAAAGGTATTTTGCATATTTATAATCAGTGGTGATCGAGGCTGCTTTCAGAGAAGCGCCTTCATCCGTCACTGTTATTAGTCATCAGTTTGGCCCAAAGCCTCTGGCAAGAAAATAGCTCAGGGAGGTTTTTTTTTTTCCTCTCCAGCTTTACTAGTGATTTATTTTCCTGAATCTTGGACATCAGTTTCTTTTGTAAAATAAAGAGCATTTGCCATAACATCTCCAACAGCGTGCCAGACTGAGGGCACTGGAGTCTGTACTGATGACTCAGGCTCTGCCTGCCTCCCGCAGCACCAGCTTAAGTCCTGTTGTTTTTGTTTCTCAGCAATGTTGGTAACTCTCTTGTTAGGTGCAGCTGCAGTGGAGAACACATGTATGAAGAAATGTTCAAAGAGCACTGCAGTTCCCTGGGGTTAAAAGTCTGCTTGCTCTCTGTATTCAGCAGCTACTGTGTGCTCTTGGCTTTCCATCTTCTGTGTGAGCCCTTATAGCAGTGTTGAAGAGAGAAACACATTATCCAAACAAAAACTGCTTGTAACAACAGCAGAAGAAGATACAAAATACCAGTGATCCAAACCACACTCTGCCCTTACTGTGTTTTGTTTCAGAGTTATTTAAACATGTATGTTTGACGAGTGGGACTTTCAGGAGTGCCAGCCTGCAAGCTGTTACTGCTTTTCTTGAACTATGGTGTGAAGCTGCAGATTTTGGTAGGGAGCAGAGCTCTTATCCTCAGCCCCTCTTTCAAATTGTCTCTGTTGGCCACTTCTGCCAGATCACTGCCGCAGTGGTTGAAGATGCTGCTGAACTTTTACAGGGATTTTTTTAAATAATGAGGAATTTCAAACAATTCCATCAACAATGATGCTTTGTACTATTTATCCTTAAAAGGTCTGTTTTAGTAGTGACAATAGTTATCAAAATCTAAGATGGTCTTTATTTTAGTTCAGTATTGCCAGTGCTTTAACTTCTGGGTCTTTTCTCTTTCCTGTCTCCACAGCTGTGATTGGGTTATTGTACCCATGCATGGACAGACATCTGGGAGAGCCACATAAATTTAAGAGAGAATGGTCCAGTGTCATGCGATGTGTAGCAGTCTTTGTGGGAATAAATCATGCCAGTGCTGTATCCTATATTCTGATGAAATTGGTGATAGTAAATGGTGTTCCACTAAAACAAAGCTCACATAGTCGTGGTGAATTGTTAAACACACAACGTACATCGTTTTTGCAAGAAAAATGCAGAATATGTGTTAGTGTTAAATTGTCATAGCAGTACTGGAGGTGATATGTCTCATGGTTTTTGGTTCTGAAAAATCTTTTCATTAGAAATGCTTCAGCATTGAGCTTTGTCTTACTTGTAGTCTTTTTCTTTGAATAATTAAAGTAAGCGTGAGGAAATATTCGTGTTGAAGAAAAATGCTTAGAGACATCCTGAGGGTTGATGTCCTTTAAACACCATAGTAAGAGGTTGAAGATCAGTCTTGAGGTCATCAGTGAAGAACATGCACTTTGCAAAGAATGGGGAAAACTCAGGACCAGGGAATACCCAGGACTACACAAAGGAGTAAGTGGTGTTACCCCATTCTGCAAGTGATGAGAATCCCTTGGTGCTGAGAGAGGAGTTACCATTCCTGTAGTCGTTCAGTAAGATCAGAAATCAATTAGAAGTCAGTCAGCATGTTGCAGTATATTGTACACCTAATTACATAGCTGTTCAGATACACCCTTGCACAAGTGTGCTCAAAACTGTTGTTCCTTCCCTCTGAAGCAGGTGAGGACATGCTGGGTGACAGTGCTTTTCACATGGACTGACATGCCTTACTGACAGTGATATGAGTCTACCTGGTTTTGTGTAGTCATGCTAAATGTCTCCTCTGTCAGGGAAAAACAGGATCTGTCTGTGAAGATTGGGTTCTTGTAAACTAACTAGAAAGTTGACCATCTCTGGAGCTCTCATCTCCTTCAGTGCCAGCTCCAACGTGGTTTGCAGTAACCGTGCTAAGAAATTCCAGGTGTGTGCTACTGAATGTCCTTGTTTCCAGGAAAAGAGGGCAAGTCAAGTGAAAGATGGGAGAGCTGGCTGAGTTTACTGAGATGGCTTGGCCCTCGGATGGGTTTTGCTGTCGTTTGAGTTTGTTCCTACTAGCCATCCTATCCAGTATGGCCAGATGAGCTGGAAGAGCCAAGGTTCGGAGTCATTCCTAGTGTCCCCCACAAACCTTGCTCTCCTTGCCAAAGACGCATTGAACTGGTCCTGTGGTTCTCATTGTCCTGGGCTGTACCTGTTGTGTTAGCACATGCAACTTACCTGCTCTTAAGAAATACAAGAGAATTGACAACTTCTCTCTGCATGGGTCAGATTATTTGCAGTTTTCACACAGCTGTTACACGTATTCCAGGACATCATTAGTGTACTGTCTGGATTTCCTCCTTGATAGCTTTCCAGGCTGCTTTCTTCTCAGCTGAATACCAGTTCTGCATATTGTCATATTTAGTGTGAGTTTTGGTCTTGTTTGACATTCTTTCTGATGCTATTGATTTTTATCCCGTATTTATTTACTCCAGTTAGTTGATCTTCTTTCTCATTTCCTATAGGTCTCTCTTCAGGACTTTGTGAGAAAATAGGGCAGTGTTTCTATGTTGTCATCCTGTGAATTTGCTTTCAGGCTTATGAAACTTGGCAACCTCCCTCTTATCTGTTTTGGACAGCAGTGGTGAGGATAAGCTAACATTTTCAAAACATTTTGAAGAACGTGAAACACTACAAAGATATCTGGAGTGACTTCACACTTGCTATCATGCGTGGACAAAACTGATTTTCAGTGTTGATTTACATGAGTATTTTCACATTAGTATATTTGCATTTTATTATATAGAAAACATTAACATTTTTAATGTTTAGCTGACTGTATACTAGCATATAAATTAAACAAAATTGCAATTAAGTAGGAGTGATAAATATCTTTTTTCAGAAAATCCTTGCCACTTAGAGTTTAATGCTAGATTTAAGATTTCATGCTTAGTGTGGCAAAGGGCCACATAAGAATGAGATGTCCTTACCCTGAACAGTAACGTGCACTGTCTGCTTGTATGAAACACCTGCATTGTCTGCTAGGTGTATTGTCTCTTTGCTCTTGGGCAGTGCTAAGACCCTAAAAATGTGAAGAAGCATCATACGTTTTTAGTTTGCCGACATGTTGACAACACTTACAGGGTTTATTTCCTTATAGCTGATAGCTTTGTGATAGCTGATACAGCTAATGCTGGGGGTTTTTATGGTATTTTTTTCTGTTGTACCAAAATATGATAAACAGAATGAAGAAAAATGTTTTGCACCTGTATATGATATTTGCAAGCTTGTCCTTAACAGTCAACACAGAAGGTGGATTTTGCCAACAATATCCAGTTGTCTCTCACATTAGCAGCCCTGTCAATTGGACTGTGGTGGACGTTTGATAGATCACGAAGTGGCTTTGGTCTTGGAGTAGGAATTGCTTTCCTGGCCACGTTGGTGTCACAACTTCTGGTCTACAATGGAGTTTATCAGTAAGTATTTACTCCATTAAGGTTCAATGACAGTCTCCTGAAACTATAACATAAAATCAGAATAACCAAAAGGGTGGAACTTGACATGATATCCAAAGCTGCCGCTGTTTAATTTTGAGTCAACAGAAATTGGACTGTTTGTGAAAGCTTTTGTGTGTTTTACTTGGAAGCTGCTTATTTCAATAAATTGTCTACCTTACCAACAATATATCATGCTTCTTTTAGTTGAACAGATGGGATTATAATCTATAAGAAGCTCCCTTTGTCATTTACTGCAAGTCGTTAAATTTCTATAATGCATCTTTTTTGTCTTGAAATATCCCAGTATTTTAATTTGTGCAACACAATCACAGGAGACAAATACACAACGCTGAGCCTAAAAATGTGTGTTCTTTTCCAGATACACGTCTCCAGATTTCCTTTATGTTCGTTCCTGGTTGCCATGTATATTTTTTGCTGGTGGAATAACTATGGGCAACATTGGCAGGCAGCTGGCAATGGTAAATTTGGAGGGGGGTTGATTGCCTTCTGGTAAAAGTTCTAGTCTACATGTCAGTCCTTCCTTCATACATACCAACCAGCTGTTTGACTTGTGGATGTGGAGTAAGATAGAAATCAGTAATCATTGCTTTTTGTCTAGTTAGTGAGCCATTAGTACTCTTAGTCAGAGCATAGCCTGTGACTTTGCTCTGCATGCTATCAGGTGTATACTTCTAGTCCTTTCAGGAGCAGAGGCTAAACAAGAGCTCCTGGGGTCAGGGAGAACTCAGGCCATCCTCTGACATCTGTACTGCTCTTCCTGCTGCTCAAGGAGACAGAAATTGCAGCCAACAGTGTATGTACAGAATTTAGGGAGACCAGAGTTATCTGGGTGAAGTGTAAGTTAAAGGATTTTGTCACCCATTTTGTAGAACAATCCCCATCATATCAGTTTTTTTTTCTTCAGTTGTGTGAGTTAATACTACTAATTTTGTCAATTTCTGTTTTTCAGTATGAATGCAAAGTCATTGCAGAGAAGTCTCACGAAGACTGAGGAGAAACAATATGCACCTTTTAAACAGGAAAATACCTGACAAATGACTGTTGGAGGAGCATAAGGAACACTTGACTATGAAATTGCCAAAATGCAATTTTATTCCCTTGAGTGGTATACTTTACTGCAATCTGTGATTGCTGCTTCTGTAGAAACTTTGATGTCTGATTTTGATTACTGTGAAATTACAATAGTATGCAATACATTTGACAATGTAGGTTCAATTCTAGGATTCCTTTTTCCAAATCTAAACTTCATTTACCATAAATTCTTGCCTGTCCATAACGTTGCAGTGCCAAACTGAACATTTGCACTACGTTTTTGTAGCTGAAATTTCTGCTTCAGTTTATCTCAAAAGTTTGGAAGAATTTGTTCTTAATAGCTCAGTGAAAAGCAGGGAATTCAAATCTGGGAATGAAGATCTTTTTCTACGATGATAGCCCATCATATCTTTGTGAAAATCATGCATTACAGGTGAGCTTTAATGCAATAAGTAACTGATTTCTGCCTGTTAACACATTGTATGATTCTCTTTACATCACAGGTGAGGAAACTTCATATGGGTTGTACAGGCTTTTGCTGTAGCGTTTCATTGGTCTGTGGTATGTGCCCAGTACCTCAGAATACAGAAATGGAAACCCAGGATGGAAATTTTCCCCTGGTACAGCCAGAATACATGTGTATATGAATTTATGTGGACCAGCATCAGATGTGGACAGATCCTAAAACTACTTCTTGTGTTGAGTAAGAGGATACAATTCAACTCATTCTTGTACAATCCCTTAAGTTGACTCGTGTTGATCACGTGTGAAAAAATCCTATAAATCTTAGGGCATTTCTATTGCAAAACTTAATTCTTCTGAACTAAATCAGCCACTACCATATAGTGTCATAAAAGTCTCCATTACCAATAGTAAGAACTTGGTAGTTCTTGTCTGCTACCTGCTCTGCTCACAGGGATCAGCAGGAGGCAAGGCTGTATTTTAGGTACTCATGTAGCTCTTACTGCAGTGACTATGGTCCAGGCAACCATAAATGCATCTGTTATACCAGTTTTCTGAGGTACTGTTACCCCGTTTTACAGGTGCCTGTGCACAGGAAGCCTCATGGGACAGAGCTGAAATCAGCTGTGTGCTAATAGGTTCCCTTCTTAAGAAGGATTTTAGTGTGTGACCCATATTTGGGGCCATATGTGGAACTTCCTCTTGGCTTTGCAGCTCCCTTTAAAGACCATGAGATAAAAGAACTTGTGCAAAAAGGCAGAAAGAAGACTGCAAGAGGACACTGCTAACCTGTGTCAGCAGTGAATTTGGCGTGGGATGTCTCTGCCTTGTTTTCCCCCTTCTGCCTCTGTATGGATGTTTTAATGTATTTGGTTTTTTTGTCTTGAGGTACTGTTCTTTTTAAATTTTCCATGAAAGGTTTGTACAACATGTTACAGTCACCTAGGGAGGATGGAGTTGGTCCAAAGAACAAACAGATGTTTAGACAAGTTTTTGTTGATAAATGTGTGTATGCATTGTACACAAAGCTTGAAATAGGCAACTCTTTTTCACTCTTAAATGCTTATCTCCAAGTCTGAAAAGTATGCAATGGAGGGAGTGCTTCCAAAAACATTGTAATGAATGAGATGGTCACAAAAGGAAAACTTCTTTAATTGGGGAAGTGTAAAAATAATAAATAAGCCAATGATGTAAAAAGAGCTTGGTTTTGCAGCTCCACAAAGTTCCATCAGCTTATGGTTCCATGACAATTCAGCAGCTGAAGCATACTTTCATTGGGTAATGTTTTAGGAAAGCACTTAGAGATTTGCATTGCTTTAAGCAGAGGTAGAACATGTTTAAGTAGGTTCTTGACTAGAGATTTTCTTTTCATCAAACTATGTGGCAATAAGAAGCATTTTATTAATAAAACCAAGAAACTTGGGGCATGAGCTAAGGGTGAGCTTCTTTAGGCAGGCTCTGGCATTTTACTGAAGAAGCTGTTGGGTCCCTTTCCATACAGTATTTTGCCTCATCCACCTTTTCACTTAAACAAATGGCTTCAGCTTGGTGGGCAGCATGATGAGTCCCTCTTGAATTATCAGGACATGAATGGCATAAAACTTCAGCTGTTTCTTATTCTGTCTGTAGGGAGTAACATGGTGCATCAGTAGCCAGCGTGCTGACTTGGTAAACAACTCAGTTTGGTCATGACCAATAAGTATATACACCTGGAGATAAGTAGCTGTTGTTATTCACTTGGTGGTAGAGCTGCTGTAACCTGCCAGTCGCATATCCACACAGAAGCTTTGTGTACGTTCAAGTGTGCAGTGTGTGAGAAGTGGTTATTGTGCATCTGTGGCACACACCCTACAACACTTTGCACTCAGATTCATCTAAACCTAACTAGACTGTGCTGTCCACTAACTTCTAAATTTCATTTTGGAAATTTTGAGCATGTAGTGCAAAGGCAGCGATCATCCAAAATAAATTTGGGTGGAGTCCTTTATTATATGTGTTTTACTATTTTTATTCTTATTTTACTGAAGTCAATACAGGATTCACATCTTGGATGTTGTATTTTCTCAACCTGTGTTGTAATTTTATGGCTGACGTGTTCAAACCCTGAACAAGGTTCATGAGCAGAATGCTGACACGGCCTTAACTGTAGTGGGGTGAACATGCTGCTACTGTATAGCGTGCAATTACAACATTAGGCTGTCTTAAAAATGTTACTCAATAGAGAATGAATAAGGTATATTTTAGATAAAACTTTATAAACACTATAACCTCTAATTAAGCGTTGTAAGGTCTATGCTGTTTAAACTGGCAAATTGCTGTTAAAAGCAGAATGTGCATTAAATACAGTTACAACCTTGCTTGATAGCTTTCTTCTTTCTCTAAGAAATTATACCGATCTTTAAAATGCACTGAGTTACCTTCTATCAGCAATCTCATAATAATTTGGCCATTGAGCTGTGGCATATTGGTTGCACAAAACACCTGTCTGGAAATACTAAAAAAGAAGTGGGGAAGATGGAATCGGCAGTGACTCTATCACAATTAGCATGCTGAGCAGCCCTGAAGACCTGCCCTTTTGAAGCTGTGATGGGTGTATTTGAGCTGGGGGAAAATAAGCCAGATAACTTCAGTCATAATGCAGAAAATAGAGATTAGATATAAACAGCCGCTATGAATATGAAGAAAAGAGTGAATGGCAGGGAACCCCTTAATATATTTGTATTTGTTAATGTTCCAGTCTGGATATGAACTGAATGTTATTTTGATGTTTGCAGACTCTCCCTTCACAGTGCCCATCACTTTGTCTCAAAAAAGATGTGACAACCACAGGTCTAAAAACGTATAATGAAAAGCTTTCTAGGCAGAGGTGAAGAAAGGGTGGGAAGAGATGCTCAGCAGTATTTGAGATGCAGTGCCCACAGTAGGATAGCACCACGAGTGGAAGTTGGAAAGAGAGCAGGGGTGAATAGAAAAGACTGTGTTTGTGCTGGCAACCTGTGACCCAAAAATCCTAACCCTACTGTGAAAATACAGAGTCCTGTGCATGTCAAGTGTCTGATGGGGCAAATTACAGCGATTACCATAATGTTGCCTAGTCATACTACTCAGATCAGTCAAAAGCACACTGGCAAATGTGCTTTGCTGGAGACTTAACCTCTCATCTGTAGCCTCTCTGTGAGAGCATCACCCTGAGGAATGGAAACACCGTGTCCTTCCTGCCCAAGTTTGGCCTGAGGTTGTTGAATGGAGAACTGCCCATTTCAGAGGGAATATCCCAACTGCCAGGCTGCTGGGCTCTCAAAATGCATCTTGTGCCACCCTTTGTAACGTGGCTGCTGAAAGCAGCTAGAATGAGAGTGAACAAAGAAACTTTTCCTCTGTAGTTTCTGTACTTCCCATCTGCCATCTGGCTGGGAGCTGCCATGGAGACCTAGAGGCATACACCAGGCTTCCCTTTTTATCTCTCCCAGCATGTCAGGAAGGGGCATCATTTTACCAGCCGCGTCACCCTGGACATTTTGCATATGCTTTTTGGGTTTTGGAGCAGCGTTACCAATAACTCCTAACGGTTATGGGTGAACGTAGTCCCTGGAAGTGGTGTTCAGTATCAAATCCAGTGCTTATAAAAGTAGAGGCACAGCTGGGCGGAGGGAGCGCGCGTCTCGCCCTGGGAATAGCTATCGAATGCTGTTAGTTTTGATGCCAGTACTAAATGCAAAGCATGAGAAATTTTGCAGCTTAATGTTCAGTACTAAACAGTAAATGAAAGGTCAGTCCAACATGTTAACTGTCATGAAGTAGTAAACACTCTTTTAATTGCTTCATGCAGCCAGCCTGGATTTTTGGTGTGTCTGTTGTCATGATTTGAGTAGCATGGTCCAGAGCCTTGTCCTGATTACCTCCCCCGGTCAAATGACAAAGCCTCAAATTAAAGGATAAACTTTATGCCTGGGATTTTCAGGCAGCATACTGGGAGCTTGTGCTCTGAATGCTTAAAAGCTGTGCTGGGGAAGAGGAAGGGGGCATGCATTTATCTGATTGGAGCCAAAATCCAGGTTGAAATGAGTTTTGGATTTTCTTGAGCTTTTCCTTTCTTGCTCTTGTGCTGTAGTTATGCAGGGATGCTTGGACACATTGCAGAGTAATTGCAGTGGCAAGTCAGCAGGTACAGCCATAAGGCCTGCTTTTTATGAATTTGTTGGTAGAAATCCTGAAATCAGTCCTTTTAAGCAAATACAGCACAAAAAAAGTTGTTGAAATCTGTATTTTTAAATAGGTTGCTGTCTGAATTCACAGCAGAATTCTGCTATTTCTGTTCTCTGATTAGTTCAGTATATGCCATGCATTATGTGAGGTGAACCTACATTTCAGATATTTAATATTTTTTGCTAATGAAACCTCAAAGCAAAATGTGTTTCATGCAATTATTCAGGGATAATGTGTGCACTAAAAAGAAAACAGGGAGGAATAGGGTTGCAAGTTAATTTCCTGGATAGGAATTGTGCACGGAGAAGCTCCAGCATTTTGCTTAATGTTGCCAGAAAGAAAAGGACAGTGTTTGTTCTGATTTCATCCTGGGTTTCAGAAGAAGAGGGGAAGGGGAGCCTTAAGAAGCAGTGCATTTGTATTGATTTGTTCTGACCTTCTGCTGTTCTCCAAAGGCATTGTTCTATTGGCCATGATCACCAGAGCATGTTTTGGCTTGTCTGTTTTCCTCTAACCCAGCTGTGCCTGTTACTTCCTCCTTGGCTAAGGAGGCCTGGAGTGAGCCTGGCCATGCCAGCAGAGAATTTGTGGGAAAATGGCTTTAGCAACTCCCTTCTGAGATTTACAGTCCCTTTGAGCTTTGTGAGGAACTGGTGATTTTGCCCGTGGCACTGTGGTTGGTAATGGTGAGGTAAAGGTGAGGGATGTGACTACATGGTGTTTGGGTGGAGGGTGGAAGTCCCTGTGAGGACATTACATGTTAGTTGTAGGGTCTAACAAGAAAACAAGTTGCCCTGATCAACAGA